GTTAGAGTAGGGAACTTGGAAATCAAGAGGCCTGAGTTCCAATCCCAGAACTGCTTTAGACTTGTGTCACCTAGAGCAAGTCACTTGCCCTCTCTCTGACTCAGTTTCCCCTTTGTAAAAGAGGATCAATAATACATACCTTTGCAAAGTGCTTTTTCATTTGAGGGATGAGTGCAATCCATACGGCTCCAACTCTCCCAAGTGACCTACTGGATAACAAAAGTGACTGTATATGGGGGCCTGTAAGGGTTAGATTTTTAAAGTTTGGCTTCCCCCAGCCCTTTTCTTTGTCTTTAGTCTGCAGCTGCAATTTAATTGCTGTTGCATTTCTACACCTGCAGTTTTTTCTGAGTGCAGCTCATGTTGCTTTGATGTCTAAGTATGGGTTGAACTAGTGCATCAGGTAGTTAGACATCAAAGTGGCATGAACTATGCTTGCAAACAGTTGCAACCAGTTGCAACCAGAAAGCTGCAAGCATACAGAGAATGCGTTCTGTTAGTTCCCTGACATCTGTGGAAAATTCCTTTTCCTTTTCCATGCTGGCTTGTATTAGATTTCAGTTTGTTGCATCTCACATTGTTCTAACATATTCTGGTCTGTATTGAGTCTCTGTTCACTTCCACTGCTTGCAGAGAGTGCACTTTGTTTCCAAGTGATTTCTGTCGCTGGCTTTATGTTTGTGCAACATGTACAATTGCCTGGGATGTCCCTGAATCCCCCGTTGTTATGGATAAGCAGCACACTCATTGCTTTATAAGCAGACCAAGGCCGGGTCTACACTACAGACCTATATCAGTATAACTAAGTTACTCGGGGGTGTGAAAAATCCACACCCTTGAGCGATGGAATTATGCCGACCTAGCCCTGTGTAGACGGTGCTATGTCAATTCTCCTGTCCACATAGCTACCGCTTCCTGGGGAGGTGGATTATCTATGCCGACTGGAGAAGCTCTTCCATACTTTTTGAAGAGTCTTAAAAGTTGCACCAGGATTGACTTTTCAGCCCAGTGCTCTGTGGCAACTTGGATAACGAGGATTTATACTCAGCATTTAAGACCTCCAAATATGAGCGTCATTATCAGCTCAGCTCCCCGCAAACCTTCCTCTAGGGTTGCTCTGTCTATATCCATAAACCTCCTATGGTTGAGCCTCCCCCTGAGAGTGAAATGAGAATCTCCTGCTTCCCATTCTTTAACCATATTAGCTGCCAATGTATCCTTCATAGCCAGAAGGCTTGGAACATCTTCTGGAATGCAAATTAGGGCAAGGGTTTATTATTACAGTTATTTTTTAAAATATGTGTAAACCACTACAGAAATATGGCACTGACCTTTCCCCTGGGAATACAAACATAAGGAGCAGTGGTAAGAGTGACAGCGGGATGAGGGGGGTAAGTGTTATCCACTGGTCACATGGGCTTGCATTTCCCTGCTGGACTGTTTCATTATCAACCATTTTGATGACTGATTAATTTTTTCTTATTACTTCCCTCAGTATTTCTGGCTCCTCGTCCTCTCACGAGGTTTGGTTGGCATCGGTGAAGCCAGTTATTCCACCATCGCTCCCACCATCATAGGAGACCTTTTCACCAAAAACACCAGAACCCTCATGCTGTCTGTCTTCTATTTTGCAATCCCTCTTGGCAGGTAACCAGTCCACTGCAGTTCTCTTAAATTACCATACATCCGAAGCGGCTGACAAGAAAGACACATTTTCTTAGATTTGAATTGTTTTGTAAGGGAAAAGTTTGCAGGTTGATGGCTAGCATAGGGGCGGCTTAGAAGATATGGGTTCTGGTACCTGTTTTGCCACTGATTCATGTGCAAGTTTAAGACCTTTGCATGGAATAAATGTGAGGTATTACTAATTAACAGAGCTGGATGAAAACAGAAAATAACTATTTAGCATATACATTTTTGGAATAAAAACAATATTACTCGTATAACTGATGAATAATGTTATACCAGTTTTCTTAGTTGTTGTTTTTATTCATTTGAGGTACAGGCCTTTTTGAGTCAAGTTCTTCCAAGTTACCATATACTCTAGAAGAGTCATTAGGTTAAGGTGCTAAGGGCTAAATTTTCAAACCTGTGAAAGTGTAATTGCTGGCACATCTACCTAAGGCATGTGACTGTTGGAGAGTGCAGGTCAGATGCACAATTTAGCTCTTGAAATTTTGGCCTTTCCAAAGCATTCTTTAGCTTACACTCAAACTCTAACCTACTTGAATCTGCAAAATTTGGCAGAGACCGTCTAGAGGATCCAGTGGTTAAAACTATTAGTACTCCCACCATGGCAGCAACAACCGTGGGAAATTACTTTAAAAGTCTAATGTAGACAAGGCTGAGGAGAGCTGCTGTAAGGAGCATTCATGCTTCAACTTACACAGAGGAGTCAAGGACCGTACAGCCCATAGTCTCCTGATGAATGTAACAGCCAGACTCAATCTTTGAGTAATTATTTCCCTTAGCACTTTCTTTGAATTGAGTTCCCTTATCAGCCCAATGCAGTATCTGATTGTTGGGACTAGAGAGATCCTGTATTTTTTACGACGGTTGACCCTGCATTGTGAGATTGTAGACAGGGTGGGCTCTGACAATGTGGATCCAGATTCCCAGAAGCAGATGACTTCCTCTGAAGAAGTGGCACAGTAAGTTCATTTCCAGAAAGGGAAAACCCGGACAGCAGTTAACTCCACCATTGCAGTGAAAAACATCTGGATTAGGATGGTGATACGCCAGCTAGAACTTATGGCAGTAACCTCAAAACAAAGATTGAAACATTCTTTTGCTCTTCAGGAAGAAGAAATGGCTGGTCCTTAACTGATGGAAATAACTTTTTCCTAAACAGCCCTAGGAAACGAACACTTCTGTAGAGAACTGAGCTGAGCAGTGGTTGGCAACAAACCAATTCCTTCCAAAGACAAACATGCTTGATAATGGCAAAGGGCTAGAAATGGGGCCCCGTTGCTCACTCTGGCTCCGGACCTGATTTTTTCCAAAGTCTAATGGAGTTTGGATCCCTGGTTTGGTTTTGGAGCCATATCTGTGAATGGCTTAGTACCAGAATGGCGTTGATGGTAACTCGGGTGCCTGCATGGCTTAGAAGGCTGTTCAATAAGCGTGTTTGGCAACAGCCAGTCATCCTGGAACAGTTCTGGCAGCTTGTACCCAAGGCAGCCCCTGCGCTGAGTGCTGGCATTTTTGAAAGATCGATTTCGTGCCTGTTTGTTTCAGCTATAGGGAAGCATCACTGTAGTTACCACTCAGCCAGAGCTGCCTTTTATTACCTGATCATAATCTGTGATACCTGGCTGAAAGTCTGCCGGCTTCTCTAACCTCCTGACAGGCTTATGATATTTGCCCATCAGCCCTATGTGCTTGTTCTGCTAAGATTTTTGGTATGAACTTTTAAAAAACAGTCTCTTGATCCATATTCGGGAACAACTGCTGTTAAATTAACAGATGGCATTTAAATGGTTTGGTGCGGTATAAACTTGATGGCACTTCTCATTAATTTTAGGTCTGGGCCCCAAAACACAGGTGCTCAGCTCACCGCAGTGATTGGTGGGATGTAGGAACCTCAATGGGACAGTCTTTGGATCCTGGGTTTTTGTTTCAACCTCTTATAGGGCAAAGGGCCTGCAGTGAAGTTCAGATCAGTAGCTAAATTTCCACCAAACTAGAGGATATTTGGACCCATCATGCTGTTAGAAGTGACACGTTCTTCACTTTTTCTGCTTTTAGTGATGCTTACTCTTGTCTCTGCAGGAAAAGGGAACTTGCAGATAGGGCAGCTGATCATGACTGTTCTGTCTGCATTTCACGGTCTTTGAGAACAGCTACACCTATAGCACTTTATCAAAACTGGCTCCCTTCTTTGTACTTTTTGCAGTGGTTTGGGGTACATCACTGGATCAAGCGTGAAGCAAGTAGCAGGAGACTGGCACTGGGCGTTGCGGGTAAGCACCTGTCTCATATTCAGTAAGTCTGTTAAAATATCCCTCGTGAACTCACACACACAAACATTAGAGCTGGCCAGAAAACAGGTGTAACTTTCATGAAAACTTTCTGAAAATTTCCAGCTCTTCAGCTGGTCAAAAATTTTGAAATATGAAATTTTGTTGTCGTTTTTCATCAACATTTTGCCAAGAAATTGACAGAATTTTCGCAATTTTGCAGGTAGATGAAATTTCCATCTCCTTTTCCCCCAGCAAAATTGAAAATTTCCAACGTACTCCAATAAGCTGGGACTTGTCATTGTCACAGTCTTTATCCCATTTCAAAAGAAGATGGTGCTACCTCACCATGTTTTGCTCCGCCTTACATAATCCATGGGCAGCACCATCTTCTGACTGAACAGTATTTAACAGGTTGAGGTTAAGGGCAGAGGAGGACTTCTAGGCAGGGCAGGATAAAAAAACTGGAGCACTGGAAAGATACGCGTACAGGTATTAAGCACGTAGCAGATGAAACGTATGCAGCTCCTGGAGAAAAAGGGAAAGGTGTTTATTGTTGGTTCTTTGTGCTTGTTTCCCTGCCTGGGAGTAGCAGATTTCCAATCACTTCATTAGCAGTTGACAGTGGTTTCTTGATGGGCTGGGGAATAGGAGGAACCTTAAATCAACTCGGTAGCCTTTCAGTCCCCTGCTATCAAGAAATTCCTGCTTTGAGGAAAAAACACTTTGTTCCAGTTTCCGCTTGTTTTTCTGCCCAGAGACACTCAGTTTCCTTCTATTTTAACCTCTAGGGACCTTGATAAATGTGTTGAAAAGATAATAAACCACACACACACAAACACATACACACCCAGTGATGTCTTGAAATTGCTGGCAGGAAGTGGCCCAGCAAACCTGCTTTCTGGCCTTTGACAGTCTGGCCAGCATGGGGTTGAGTGAGATGCTCTCTCAGGGCTGGCAGTTCCTGAAGGCAATTAATTGCATGAAGCTCGTGCCAATGCAGTTTATAACAGCAGGTGCTGAAATACATGGATTCCCTACCTCAAACAAATGGCACTTTTTGGCGGCTGGAAATGAGAAGTGAAGCCAGTAAAGTCACCAGGAATAGTCCAGCAGCAGCTAGCTGAGTGGGGAGCAGATTCCAACCAGGAACCTAGAATGAAAAGAATTAAGTTTAATGCTGTGAAGTTTCAGACCAGAAAATAGGCCACCTTTCCTAACAGCAGGAATGCTTTAAGGGTGAAGCTGACTTCTGAGCAGAGGAGCAGCGCTAGGCCTAAGCCCCTCATTCAACCCATTGCGCTTAAATGAGACTGATGTGTTACATAGGCATAATGCTGGCCTAGTGCATCGAGATGAAAGGCACCCTAAGGCCTTAGTTCTCAACCCTTTGGGGCTCAGGACCCAGTTGTAAACCTTGATGGCGTGACCCACGGTATAACTTTAGTGCCAAATACATCTGGCTTAGGAAACATTTCGTACTCACGATATATAGTATACACATTAACATAATAAATGCTAAAAAAGTACACTTATGCATACTATAGTGGTGGCTCCTGTCCTGCTGGGCTGGCTGGGCACAGCTCCTCGCTCCAGGTGTTGCAACCTCTGGGGTCAGAGTGCTGCTCAGCTTTGGGCCAGACCCCTTAACAGGAGGCCAGCCAGGCCAAATTTGTGTGAGTGGTGGTGTGACCCAGTGCATGGTATCAAAGCATCACTCACTCAAATTTGGCCCAGCCAAATCATCATGAGAGAGGAGTGGTTGGGCCAAACCCAAGTGGCACTACAACCCTGTGGACCCGGTCACAAGGCCCAGAGTGGGGCACTGAGCCCAGTCAGCCCTGAGGGACCAGAGCTGCAGGAGCCGCCGCTGTGGGGTGATTGTGAGACGGGCTCTGTCTGCAGCCCTCCCCCGGGTCTCCCATCTGACTCCTTGACACATTCTGGAGACCTAACCTGAACCCACCTTTGGGTTGTGACCCACAGGCTGAGAAACCTTGCTCTAAAGAGCTATCATTTGATGCAGGAAGTTACCATTAGCTCCCTTCTCTTCAAGTGAAATCTCCACCTTTGTTTCTGGCAAGAGTCTTTCTGGGCTCCTGTGCTTGTAGCTCCCAGGCTCCCTGTGCGTCAGTCTCTCCATCATGTCCTATGCAGACATCACAACAAATTGCCAATGATAACCTGACTGTACAAAACATATAGAAACTGTCAGGAGACGTTGGTCTGTCTCTTGTTCTTGTCTACACGAGGACACTTACGAAAGTTAATCCGAATTTACTAAAGGTATGAATTTAAAATGCATTAGTCAAATGTCAGTAACTCACAAGTTAATTAAACTAAATTGAATTAAGACCACTTGAATTCTGAATAGGAGAGGAGTTTCCTGTGGTTTAATTAATCCACTTTAAATTCACATCTTAAATTAATTCAGATTAATTTTTTTGAGCGTCCTCATACAGACAAGCCCTAAATCTAGTAGCATACTGAGTGTAATTGCTTATTTGCTAGGTGTGTTACTTTACTGTGTAACCTCTTGTGATCTCACCAGATCTCCTAATCTAGGCAGGGTCACGCTAGTCAAACTTGGATGAGAGACCTCAGAAGAAGAACCAGAGTGTTTGTAGCAGTGCTTCGTAGGTTGCAGTCTTCCCTCTGGTTCAGTAGTAATTCCAGTGCCCCAGTAGAGTGCCAGCGGATGCTGTGTTGCTGAAGGAACTGGTCTTTCAGTGTCCTCTTCTGTTTTCCCCCCTCTCCATCTGGAATGCCCTATGCAGGGAGCATTCAGGAACTGGGTGAAGATGGAAAGCCAGAGGTGGGCAAGGGGCATGTGCACGCACTTGCATGTGCAGTAGGGGAAAGGTCAGAAAGTGACTCACTCCCAACATCCGGAAAACCTTTCACCTTCCTGGCATAACACCCCAGACACCCTTCAAATACTTCTAGAAATTAGCCAGGCCCTTAGCCCACCTGGGAGTAAGCTAGCTTCCTAAGGGTTAAATGTCACAGAAGATGAGCTGGGTACAGCAGTTACACAGAATATGACCACCTTAATCAGAAGCATCCCCAGAGCCGAGCTACAAGAGTAAGTAAGAGTCTCAACGGTGACAGAGAAAGGAAGGAGAGGAGCAGATGCGGCAGTGGGAGCATACAGATTTGGACCAGATGTAAAGAACCTAGTCACTGAAATGAAACTAATGCAATCTGTTTCTTTTTGACTAGCCGTGGTAATCACTGCCAACTTCCTGTGCTGATTTCCAGGTCCTCTCTTTCAGGTATCTCCACTCCTAGGCATGATAACAGGGACACTCATCTTGATATTTGTACCTGCTGCTAAAAGAGGCAATGTGGAACAGCTGGGGGGACAGCTGAAGGCTCGGACCTCGTGGCTAAGAGACATGAAGGCACTGATCAGAAAGTAAGAGAGCTCTGCTAAAATGCGCTTGGCCTTTAACTCTCAGCCTGAGAGTCAGATAGCGTTTGCCATTCTACTGCTGTATGATTTGCAAGTGGCAACGCTCGAGGAGCAGCAGAAAGCATGATCCTTGGGCCTGAGAAAGGAAACCACAGTTGTGTTTTCACAAGGGATGATCCCCAGTTGGAATCCAAATTTGGATCTACCCTTTCCAAGGTTCAGATTGGAGGGTTTTCTAAGATCCATATCTGGTTCTCGCTTCAGGGAAGCTAAAGTGTGGAAGTGGAAACATATGAAAGAGCAAACGGTGTTACTGGCTTTCAGCCCTTTTTTCTGTCTTGAGGGGCACCAGGAAAGGAGACGCCTTCCTGAGGTGGGGGGGAATTAAATGTCAAAGTGAATTTTGAGGAGCAAATATACAAATGCATGCACTTGCTTGCAGGCCTGCACACGCTTGCAGGTATACACATGCTTACACAGTTCCACATGGCTATGCACACACACTTTCACAGTGTCAGTCATTCTGCTGCACTCGCTGTCAGGATGTTTCTGCGACTACATCCGAGCACCTCTCCATTTACCTGCAGATTGCCCTGGGAGTTCCAAACTGGAACTTGTTCCTTCTGACAGTACTGACTAGTGCATCTTCCCAGTGTTGTCAGCAAGAACAAAGGAGGTGGACACGTGGTTGTGGTTAATTCACGGGTGTCTCCATGGGGCTTACCCTTGTATCATTTGAATGCCTGGTAATCCAAACGGTAATGATGCTACTGTCCCAGTGAGACAGGGTCACTCAGATGGGGAGAATGGCATTTGGAGCAGGCAAGTAGGCAGAACTAGAGGGAGGGCATCCTGATGATTGAGTGCTGACTATATTACTTAATGATCACATGGCACTTTGCAGATGTGAAGTGCTGTCCAGGAGGTGAGACGTATTGTTACTGTCACAACAGTGTGTTAGAAATGTACTCTGGGCCTGATTTTCCATTGCCTTGCACCATCGCTGCACCTGTGCAAAGTGAGTGTGAAACAGTACCGCAGGGAAGCCTGGTAGAATTTTACCCCTGCTTTGCACTGATGTAAATGACTGAACAAGGTGCAAGTGAGGGAGACATAGACTGTATACACGGTGAGTGATGCTGTAACCTGAGTTACAAACCTATGTCGTGTGGCCTGTAACAGACTAAAACCACAGTGGTGACCGCTGCAAAATGCAGAGGCAGCTCCAACAGAAAGTACTGTAATTATATCATCAGAGCCTATTTGAGCAGCTGGTGATTCGATCTTAGCTCTAGGGGACACTCTGGTTTAAGGGGTTGGGACTGAGCTGATGCCGTTTTCTGTTTTGCTCCCTCCCATGGCTCTTATTTCTTTGGGGTTTCCCTACTTCAGGGATAAAGCAGATCTGGAGCTAAAATTTCCCCATGGATTTTTCTCTCTTGCATCTCCACAGCCGCAGCTACGTATTCTCGTCGCTGGCCACCTCAGCTGTCTCCTTTGCCACAGGGGCGCTGGGCATGTGGATCCCCCTCTACCTTCACAGGGCACAAGTTGTGCAGAAAACTGTCGAGACCTGCAGTTCGGAGCCCTGCAGCACCAAGGACAGGTAAGGCTCATCCTGTGATACTGTAAAGAGGGGCTTTCCTACCGCAGATGACATTCAGACTTGCAGAGCTTGGGCTTAAGAGAATGAAATCCATTTACTAGGATTTCTATAACGTCCTGTGGCCCTTTGCAACAATGATAGGAAGCACTGGGGGTTAAATCCAGAATTTGTTCTTCGCTGCTGCAGCTGATCCCTTTTTCACTACTGGATGTGAATTTGTAGTGAAGCCAGAATACTAGGCAGGTGAGATCAGGGAAGAAAGATGGCTGTGTAGCTTAGGCACAGGACTGAGACCCAAGAGATCTCAATTCTCCTCTGTCATGGCCACTGATTCCCAGCATGATGTGACCTGGGGATGGGGCTTCCCTGTGCCTGAGCTTCACTATCTGTAACGTGGACGTACCACTTCTGCAGCGGGGCTAAGCCGTTCGTTTGATTTGTGTGTATCTAGCGCTTGGAGATCTTTCCATGGAATGCTGCACACTGTGATGTCATAAGTAGGAGTTTATGACCTCACTGCAGGATCCAGGAGAAGATAGTTGCCATGGCGAGAGAGGAAGATGTTACCATGGCTCACATTTCTTCAGCGATAGCAGGGATTGGGCTGGCGTGGTGGCCAAAGTTCAGGACTCAGTTTGGTTGCTCTCCCTCCAGGAGCCAGCAAGGGAGTGCCCTTGTGGCCATGTCCTCAGCCCCTGTGGTTGGTGCACCGCTCCTCTGCCCGATGCACCATGTGCTGTAAACAGGCTGCCAAAGGAGGATCTTTGATTGGATGAAGGGCTTTGGGAGTCCTTTATGAGATGAAGAGAGATCCCAGACTTGCAGGGAAAGTATCAAAAACTGGTTTTGCCTGTTACTGTTTTCATATAAAGGCTCTGGGTTTGAACTTGCCCCAGGGTGAAAGTTTCTCTTTAATGTTACTGTAGTGCTGACCCTAAGGCAATAAAGAAATAAGGTCTGTGGGTATCAGACTGAGTAAACTTCCCTGCCATGCTGGAGTAGCTTAATACTGGAGAGGAGTGTGTTAATAATGACCTTTCATCCTGAAGATATCCCTAAGCACTTGATGGTGCGTGTATGCTGGTATTGCTCACGTGCTACAAACATGCAGCCGCTTCTGAAGTGGATTGCAACAGTAGGACTACATTATAGCACGTTATTTGGGAAGAATAAAGTCATAGAAGTGCAGAACTGAAAGTCCTAGTTATCTAGTCCGGTCCCCT